TCAAAAGATTAGTTTTAATTACATAGTTAATATAAAAACTTCAATCATAACTACAGACAAGACTCATTCGCTTCCTAGATTGTATGCGCCACTGTTCTCCGCAGCCATCGAGAAAGAAATGTCAAATTAATATGTGTTTCGACCTACTTTATCGTTGATAGACGTGAATTGTTCGTAATTCTTAGTCAAATTTAAATAATTAATCGAAGTATCTGTAAAACAAAGTTTCTTACTTAGGCAATGCATTTTTGTTAATGTTATTTTAAAAAGAAAACCGACAATAATAATAGTATATTGATATTATTACAAAATAAGAGTTTTTATTCAACAATATCCGTTGATATGCTTTGCACTTTATCACTCAAATGAGTAGAATAAATCTGTCATTTGAATAACGAGTGTTAAGGGGATAGAAAAACAGCCTTGATGACGTGACAAAAAACCTGTTTGACTTTTCTGTCGTCGACTGTATATTTAATCAAAACACGTGTTTGTAACATGTTTAGACAATAACTGTTGTATAATATTTCAAAAGCACTTCTCTAGCTAAAAGCTGTTTAAACAATAATTTGATAAATTAGATGGTAGATCAAATTACTTAGCAAATTTCTTTCAATTTTGATGAGAGAAAAAAAACCAAAAAAAGAACCCCTAGATCCACGTTTAAATATTCAGCTTAATTAACGTTAGTTTATCGTAGACGCAAAACACTATTAATATTGTCTTTATAAAACAAAACTATAGTATTCTTATGTTGTTAATGTGACAGTGCCCTCCATATAAGTTGTCATTGTTTGTTGTTGACGGCATTCATCCTTCACTTTTATAAAAATAAATACTATAAATAATTTCCTATGTTAAGTGCAAGATATTCTTTTACAAGCGTAAAACCAACGTTCTCCTTCATCAAAAATCATTCGTATTTGATATGAGAGATTTTTCTAAGCTCAAATAAATAAATATATATATATTAGATCAAATAGATTTTATATTTATATCATATTGATCATTTCTCTAGTATAATAACTTGTCCAATGTTACATATATAAGTCAAATAGATGTTGTTAGTTTTTTTGTATTGAAGATGTTTGTTTACGAATAAATAAAAAATTTAAATTTGTATTGTTAATTAAACATATATTTGATACTAACTCCGATTCAAATTAAGTTTCTAACGCTCTTAATAAAAACTTATAATAACTATTGTTATTTTTAGAAAACGGTGATGATCTGTCTATATATTTTTGTTCGTTCTAAAATAATGTTTAAGTAAATTCTTTTTCTTTCTTGTTGTTGTATTCTTGTTGTAGACTTCTTTCTTTTCATTTCTTATTATTACATTATAGATAATAGATATAGATTTTTTGATGATGATGATGATGATGATGAAGAAAAAATGTCAATTCTCTTCTTTTTTTTCTTGTCCCTTGACTTTTGTTCTTCAACTTAAATAGTACTCTTAGCTTTTTCTTCTATGGTATGTACGAGTGTATATATTATCTATCTTTTACACTCTTTGGATCATTTTCAACATGGAAAAGCGTGAATATCGATTTAATTATTAGTATTAGCTCTTTTTTTTGCCTTTCTTTTCTTATGTTCTATGGTTGAGAGAGAAGAATACAATAAGGATGGATAATGGGAAATGCAAAATATGTTGAGTCAAAACAGGATACAATGAGTGGGAATAAGAATAAAAAAAAGTCACTTTTAATGCATATCTTACATTAAAAATATAAATGAAGTTCGAAAACATGTATTTGTATGTGTTGTGTTGTATATAGCTGGGTACATTGAAATCAATTTAATGTCTGTAGCATATCAATAAATTTCTTTCCATTATCAATTTAGTAAATTTGAATCGAAAAGAACATCTGAAATTTGATGAAAGAAAATGTTTCTGATTTGTTTTTAAGAAAAACAAAATTAAATCAAAAACATCTTACTGTTGGATCTTTTAACAGGTCAAATTCTTACTGGAAATACAATAGTAATTGTCTCTTAAAAACGGTACAAAAAATTCAAAACTAGTGTGTTTTTGAGGAAAAATTCAATAATCTATAATTTTTAAGCTTAGAATAAATGCAATGATTTCGATTGAATTATTGGCGTATCATTTGTAAAACTGAGTATTTTTGAAAAATTTTATCTTCTTATTGTCAATAAGTGATCTTATTTAATTTGGCACGTATCGTGTTTAGAATTGTGCATTCCAACGTGTATGTCAAGGGCAATGTTAATGATAGATAGTATACGTTACATTCATATATCATGATTTTGATACATTGTCTTTCCAAATTTCTTTACTTCTTAGTTTTATTATTCTATCGTAACTTATATTTCTTTTGTTTATATCTAAAAAGAAAGTAGATTTTCTCAATGAACATCTAATTCTTTCTTCTTCTCATTTTTCTCCTTCAATGAGATTTTCAAGTTTGTTTTTGTTTTTTCACAGTTTTTCTTTTTGTTCTGTTTCTTTGTCAAGTTTAGTGTTTTTTTTTTTTATCGTGTGCTTTCTCTCTCTGATTCTTCCTCTATATATTCATTGGAAAATAATAACAAACCACATACAAAACATGGCAATGAGTATGAGACGACAGCGAACAAATGAACCATGTCTGATGCGGTGTTAAACACCAAAAATATAAAATAAAATAGTAACAGTAGTAGAAAACAAAATAATATATAGGATACACGTACAGCACGATTATCAAAAAATTTCCGTTGTTTCTCGTCTATTTTAAATAATAAAAAAAAGAAGAAAATTGTATTAATAGTAAAAAACAAAAAAAAATAGAAAAAGCTAAAAAAACAACACAACAAGTATTTAAGATTGCATAAATGAAAGAGACATATTTTTAACAAATGTAAAAATAGAAGGAAAATATCTATCTCTGTCATTTAATAATATGCTGATTTCATTTTTTTTTCATTCCATATGCATAAATATATATATGAAGAGATAGATATTATATCGAGAAAAACTTAGACGTACGTGACTGTTTTTAAAGGGAGAAGGAATATAAGAACGAACAGTAAAACAGTTGTGGTGTTGATGAGACCCATCATATTGTTGTTTTCTCGGCTAAAAATCATTCGTTATTAATATATTCATTCATTCATTTATATTCTTATTCTTATTAGCATGATTCATGGAACTGTGGAGGAAAATGAAACTTAGATGGGTAATAATCATAATAATAATATCTCTTTAGCTTGTTACAGAATTAGATAAAACATTTTTGTTTTTTGTTTTTGATCAATTTTATTTGTGTAAGTAAATAATCTGGAAACAATAATGAGAATCATTGAGGTAATATATTGGTGCTGTTTTTATTTTTGTTTTTCTTATATTCTCCTGAGTCAATGAATGTAAATTTGTTCAGTTAGAAATTCAAATTTTTAACAAAAGTGTTAGAAAAATTAATTTTTTATCAACTTTTGTCGAGTTATACGTTTTAATTCTTGACAATTATTCACCTTCGATAGGTGTTCCCGGATCCAGTTAGATCTACTAGGAAAGGCATCGAAAAGTTCAATTTAGACTTGCCATACAGCAATCAAAAGTCCCACTTATGCTCTCTCTGACTACGAATATGCTAGTAGTTTTACCGGCTTATGAAAACAAATATAGAGAAGTGATGATAAACACAATATTTAAGGTGGATTCGGTTGAACAAACAGCTGTAAAGTAGTCAAAATATTTTCTAGCTAACTACTATTATGTCGATAGTGAAAGAAAAATAGATACTTCTTGAACGAATTAATGTTTCTAATGAGTCAAAAATAGAAAAGTATACTCGATAAACGACAGATGATAAAAAATTGTGAAGAAAAGATGTACCAAAAAAAATGTGAGTAGTCATATTTTTCGTCTATTATTTTAAAAGGGAGAAAAAGAGACGATCAAAACAACATATGGTCATCTGTACAACACACCACATCTCGAATGAGAGAACAAAGGAGGAACAAAAACCAGACATAAGTTTTATTAATTAGATAATAAAAACGATTGTTTATTTTTTCTAAAAGCAAAATCGAGTTGTGTTATTTACTTACATACAGTTCAGTAATCATAAAGGTGTGAGTTTTTCTTTTTTTTACGATGATCACTGTGACTAAATAATTTTCTCGCTGACTTACGGCATAAAGAATATAGAAGACAGGTACAAGTTCTATATTTTCTTTTGCTATTTTTAATACTATGACAAATGACAGATGCTCATTTTTTTATTTATCTTCTTTTTTGCCCATTATTATTTGTCTTCATTTACTGGATGCTTTGGGAATTATGTTCTATAATGAATCACTATAACTCTATTGCATAGATGATTATCTTCAAGGCATATGATTGATTGATCGATTATATATGTGTTGTTTTAGTATTAAATAATTACGGGATATTATACAGATATTTTTATTTTTTATAGAAAAATATGGATAAAAAAAGAAAACATTGTTTGTTTGTTTGTTTGTTTGTTTTTTTACTAAAAAATTCATGGTGTCCTTAATTAGTCTAAATTGTATAATCATTAGTTTAATGTCGACTATTGTTAGTTTAACCTATCAATTGTAGTTTTTTTTATTGATATATCAACATTTGATCTATATAACAGTCTTTTCTTTTAAAAGTAAGCACATCAAAATAAGTTCATTAACAATAAGATGGTATGACTTGATTGAATAGTTTTGTTTCTGAGAAAAAACTATAGATATTTTTTATCAAAATTTATTGATAAATTGTTAAAATTTTTCAAAATAATCTATTGAATTCTTGAAAACAACCTTCGCAAAATAATTTCGTTGCTTAGGTGATTAAATACATAACATATTAACAGAATGTTTCTATCATTATTTTCTGATTAATAAGGTCATCTATTTCCTTGAGGTATTTTAAACTATGTGTTTTATGTCAAATAAGTAAGAGAAAGAGAGGACAGCCGTAAATATAAATGTAAAACTCTTATCCCATTTAAATTAGAAATCATGATTATTAGTACATGGCTGTATGTGTATATGTATTAAGACATTTAAATATTATATTTATTTATTTTTAGGCTTCCTGTGATGTGACAGTTGTCTGCGACGATTATACAGCACGTAGTCAAAATGAATTATCAGTTACAAAAGGTCAACATGTTCGTATATTACAACGTACTGCCGGCAATTCACCAGAATGGTGTTTAATTCGTCTATTAAATGATCATAGTCAACAAATACAACAATCTATATCCGGTCCATCATCATTAGCTTCATCGACGACAATATCCGGTACAGAACAATCATCATTACCATCAGTTCATTCAACACCAACAAAATATGTTGAGGGTCTTGTACCATCGTCGATATTAAAAGCAACAAAATCCAATTTATCTGTAATAATTCCAAAAACGGAACAAGGTAAAAACTTTTCAATATCCTTACTAATCATTTCAATATATGTATTTTCAACGCCATTTAATATAAACAATATTTATTCTATCTTTCATCTCTTTCATGTATTGACAGAAACCGTCTGACAAAAACAAATAACTTATGCTACAAAAAATATCTTTGTTTTTTGCATTAAATATGTATTTAAAATAACATACATTAGTCTTAGCATAATAAGAAACTGACTAAATTCGACTTTTTATTAAACGACTAATCGCAGACATGTTTTTACAGAGACATAACCGATTTTTTACTCATATTATTACCATACAATTGGACGGATAACTTTTAGGAATTTTTGAGTAAGAAATGGTCAATTCTCAAAAATGTTTTTTATTGTAAAAATATTCGTATTCAAAGATAGAATAAACATTAATACTTTTTTTATTCTATTTAAGATGCCAGCGAGACAAATAACGATGATTCACATCAACAACAATCACCAGCCCTATTTACTAAACGAAAAACAAGTATTAGACGAATATTAAAAAATCCTGTACGTCGTTTAAGTTTAAAAGATGGTAAAGATGCAAAAAATCGTGATATAAAAAAAGTATCTACAACAGTAAATCTAACACCAATTGCAAATTCAACATCAAAAATAAAAGTATAATAATAATTTAAAAAATTAATGTATATTCTTCTTATTCTTTATTTTTCATTTTTAGGCTTTCACATTTACAAATTCAGAAGATTTACAATCTGCTTCTATAACTCTCTCTAATACCACCGATATATCAACGGAAATAATACCACCGATGACCGATGAAAATGTAAGTTATATTTAAAATATTTCTGAAAATAGTATAAATAATTTCATTTTTAATAAGTTAGAATAATTACAGTACCAAAATAGAGAAAATATATTATTTAAATTTATTCTTTTTTTGCATGAAATATTTTGCTACAAAAACTTTTATTTACCTATTTGAAGTATATGTAGTGCATGATATTAGAATCTATTCATATAACATTGAGATTTATTTATTGAAAGACAAATTATCTCTCTATTCATAATAATCATTAAATATTTGAAATCTTATTGCTGATTACATGTTCAAGTTGAAAGAACAATAATAAACGATCAAAACATGTTTCATGGCAATCTATGAACAAAATTGTCGTTGTTTGTTCGTTGCTGAGCAGTAAGTTCCGACGATCGTTTTTTTTTATTTTTTCTATTGATATAACAGGATGTTAACTATCCTAACAATTTCCTTCCGCTCTAAATAATGAAATAAGAAAATATTTTTTTATTACGTTTTTAGCATTTAAAATACAGATAATCAATAATTTTTCTGTTTTTCTATAATCATTTATAAAAAAAAATATCTTGATCTGTTATTTTTTTTTGGATCAACATCAATACGTTTACTTATATCTTTTTTTTGCAATTTACAAATTATGAGTAAGTTTAACTCTAAATCAAAAAAAAAACACAACACTTTTTCTTTAAAACTAAATCGTCTATTTGACATTTTTAATCCTTTGAAAATATATAAGTTATTTTATCCTATAGAAGGTTCTTGTTATATACGTTACCTTTCAATAGTATTCAGCAGTTTTAATATATTGTCTCGATTATTTTGACTAGACAAAATACATCACGAGCTACATCAATTTATAAGTGCCTCTGTCAGTGTGATAATATCTAATATAATTTGTCAAAGGAAAAAATGATCCTGTTTTTTGAGAGTGCTGGATTTTTTACGTGTCATTCATTATTCATTAAAAAATATTCTTTACCCTGGATAGAGCGATCTTCTTCCTTCTTCAAAATATAAAGAGATGGTAAGATAGATTGTTATAGTTTTGAGATTACTTGTTTTGTTTGATAGAAAGACATGCAATATCGTTCATTATTATTCTACTTACACAAATGTTATTGTTGTTGTTATGTTATAACGTTTTTTGTTATATTCGAATTGAATGTATATCATCCGAAAATTAGTACTAAATGTAAGATTTATTCTACTTTTTTTGCTTAGAAAAATCAATTTTTTCTTGTGTCCATTTGGTCTATGACATCTATCAATCAAAATGAATCGGTTTTTTGTTCTTCACATATTGCAATGTTTTCCACTGGTTAGACATTACTATAAAATAATATTTATATATACACTGGATTTTCCAAGATAAATCTATCATTGAATCGAGAAGAAAATAATTTGTATTATGACTACTCTTCCTTTTCTTACCGGCTGGAATTTTCTGGTAAGTATGAAGTTTTAATGTTAGTCTTTCGTCTTTAAATGTGAAAATCTATTAATTATCAATAGAAAGTCTGTCTGTTACGATTTCTACATATGTTTATTTGAGAGTTAGAGAAGGCCGTTTCTTAACTGAGAGATAGCATGGCTTAGTGATTATATTATTCGCCAAGCACTGCAAACGTATGAGGAATTCAAGTAGTTGGGCGAAAGACTTCTGCGCCAGACTAGACTTCTGTCCAAAGCTGTGGTTAATGACTAGTAATGAGATGAGTGATCATGTTAGAAGCTTGTCAACTGGCAGGAAGCTACTGAAACTGGCATTCGGCAACACCCTACATCGATAACGGTAGCCTCAAGGCAGGGTATCATTCTTCTTCCCTTTCTTAAACATTTCATTTTCTGACTGGACTGTACTCTAGAAAAATATAATATGATGTGCAGATAGTCTATGCTAAACAGCGACCGAAGTATCTATATCTTTAACACATACTTTTTTTAAAATATTCCTTTTCGGATAATCGATTTTGTACTTTTTACACTATTTCGGAACTAGATTGACTATTACTAGAATCTTTATTAATATTCTCGGTGTTCAAAGGGATTTAAGGAGAAACATGAAGGTTTTCGAAAAAATAGTTTAATGTTTTTTAGTTCTTTTTTGAAAAATGCCTCTTGATTATTCATTTGTTTTGTCTACTACTTTACTGAAATGTTCTTCTGTAAGCAAGAAAATTCTTTTCAACTAGTTTAGGATAGAATGTATTGTTCGTTCAAGAGCAAAAGTAACATTCGCATGTGTTTGTGTGTATGTGTGTCTATGTTCGTATGTTTTGCTGACGATGATTGAGTGATTGTTTACACAATACTGAACATGAAGATTATGATATAGATATATCAAGAAAGAGAGAAAATTAACTTTGTGTAATAAAACGTATACATAATAGAAAAAATAAATATACCGTAGCATCATATGAAGAAACTCACTTTCTTCATCGTGCGAGCATTATTCTTGTCAAGAAGAAAAAAAAAGAATCTGACGTTTATAAAAACAAACAAATGTTGTAATAATTTTTCTTTGTTCCATTATATGGGTATTCTGCTAATGGATCATGCTCGCGGACATATATCAAGTGGATCGAAAATGTTCAACTTATGTATAGTTTTTCGAAGAAAAAACAGACAAAAGTTGTGATAATGTTATAGACATTTTTAAGTCTAAAACTAGGATTTTTTTTGTCAACCGTTGGGACAAGACACAAACCAAATGACTAATATCGATTGAGTTAGGAAAAGTAAATAAATAATAACACGATATAAGACTTCTGAACATAAAACTTTTTAACAAATGAGTAAGTTAGTGGAATATCGAACGTCCTGAAAAAGCATCCCTGTTAGATTATCAAAATCTAATTTAAAAGAAAATTTTTGACTAAGACTTTTCAGCTATAAGTTAAAAGTAGCTAGTTTATATACTGTACCAGTGGCGTCTAGAGTATGGAAACGTTTGAAGCACGATGTCTCAATTAAAAAAATGCGGTGGTACATCTTTGAAATTTTTTTCCTATCACACTGAGTTGAGCTAGTGCGAGAACGTTGAAGTTCACGTTTGAAAAAAGTGCGCTTTGGGTGGAAATAGTTAGTGGTTCTTGCTAAGATTCGAAAGTGGAACGTTTGTGGAATACAGAAATTGAACGCTATGAGTTTTAGAGATGGAACGTTTTAGGATTTAATCACTGCTACTTCGCAACACAATATAGAAGATACACCTTTGATACTACAAATGAAAACCTTTTATTTCGTAGATTAAAATATTGAGAGAAGTTTACAAGTTACAAGCACATTGTTGTTTTTAAGACTAATTATAGCAAGTTTTCATATGAACTAGAAAATTGAAAAAAATTGAAGTTTTATAACTGTTACATCTATAATATCACCTGTCAATGATAGATAAGGCCTGTCCTCTCGATTCTCCCCTAATTGACTTTGTAAGATCAAACAACATCAAAGGGCACATCAAAAGTGAATAATTAGGGACGAATCGAGACTAAACCGGCTTTATGTCTCAAACCTTTAGGTACAGATAGACGCCGCTGTACTGTACGTGTACGCAAACAAGAAAATTTTCCATTGAAACGGTCAGTTCATGAGTAAGTGAACTTGTGAGACTTTTTATGTCATTTATTATATTTAATAACTGAATGATTTGAGTATGATGATCTAAGACAAAATAGGGAATAACAAATTTCCTTTCTTTTTCCTTTCTTATTCTCTTTGATCACCGTGTGTGTCTATTTATACAAATTTTTTGACTATCGTAACTGGTGGTAGATTGTTGTTATGTATTCGATTATACTCTATACAGTACTAGTAAAAATTTTGTTCGGTTCACATATCTGTGTGCGTGTATTCTCATTTCAATAGATATATAGTGATGCAGACATCTATACTCTACTCTTACTTGTGTCACAAATATGTTTTTTTATGTCACTGTTCGTCCTCTCTCTCTCTTTCTCTCATTGTTCCCTTTTCTTTGTTGTTTTTTGAATTAGAGAAATGAAGAAGAAAGGTATTTTAATATTTTATTTTGATCAAATATTGGTCCACTATACTATTATTCGCAAATAGTTCAAGGTGTTGCTATTATACGTCCAAAGGAACCTTGTATATTGTATTGTTTACTAGTGCAATTTTTTCGAATTTTTTTCCTTCTCAAAACCATATTTATAACCTTTTCTTCTTCATTTTTGTTTCATATTTGTCAATCGACATCACTTATTTCTTTGCCACTTTTAAGAAGAAAAAAGAACTGAGTAATAAAGGAAAACGAAGATATGTATATGTGTCATAATTCAACATAAACTTTTCAATAGATTCTGCTACTTGTATTTATTATTATATTTAAAGAAAAATTGATTGAAATTAATTATGCCTAAACTACATTTTTACCGTAAATATAAACTACCAAAACAATATAAAAATGTAAGTTTAATTAATTATTATCATGATTTATATCATGTTTGAGAGTGTTTACTTCTAAATAATATTAGAAACTTTGAAGATTTTAAAAAAATCATTTTAGCAATGTCTAGATAAAATGATCATTTTTTGAATAGTTGAACTCCGTTTGATTTGTTTGTAAAGGTTGAAGAGGTTTAAATGAGTGTACTTCAGCATGAATCATAAGTCTAAGATAGAACGTGTGTTTGTAGTACGTCCATCAAGATTAACAATTTTTTAAAATAGTTTTTTCTTTTTTATTAAGATCTGTCTAGATCTGCCATGTTTACAAATTGTTTATGAAAGCCAATTTTTAGCTTATTAAATGTGTAGTTTATTTTTTACTCGTTTTTTGTTTTTTATTACGCTCATAATAATTATCTTTAAATTGCTTATTACATATGTGTTTATGATGATAAACAGATGAATTGAGGAAAAAACAGATGGACCTTTTTCAATTAGTGTATTAGTTTCCAGTTAATATCTAATTTAAAACTTGAATAATCTGATAGTTAATAGATTGTGTGTATACAGCTGTTTTATATTACAATGGTGAACTATTGGGGATAGAGATCTTATTTTTTCGTTGATCCTATACCAGTTTAGCATTATTCGAAATAGTACTTTAACCACAAAGTCTGAGTTTAAACGATTGTAGAAAATGTCATGTGACATATAGAAATTTTGGACTATATGACTCATTCTCCTATAGTAAAAATACTGTATCATTGATTAATTTGATAAATATTGGAAAAGAAAAAACGTTCTGTTATAAATGAGTACTACGATAACTAACACCATCTTTTGACATACCACATGAATATCTGTCGACATCTTTCGATGGTGAAATCATAAAATGTACTAAGGATAAATAATTTTTGTTTTTTATTTTAGAATTCAACGGAGAAAACGCTTAACGGCATGAATGGTAGTTATAAAATATCAGATATTACGCAAGATGATGATGATGTACTACCAGAAGTTGAAGTCCCACCTCCAATGGAAATACAACAACAACCGATAAAATTTGTGGATAATGAAGTCAATACGGGACTGGGGGTAAGTGATAGATATATTTTCTTTTTTGTTACCATTATTTTATCTATTGACTCCATTACTGTATCATGAAAAAGTGAACATGTCTTCTGTTCTCTGAAGTAGTCAAGTAGTGAAAATTTCAAACTACTTTTTCAATGAGTTTGTCAATAGAAATATTACATCTATGACAAATATGTCATTGAACGTTTTTATAGTCAGAAAACTTTTTATCTACAGTGTACATAATTTTACATATCTCTAAATACCTGTATACAATAACTATGTCAAAGCAAAGCCTGTTATTAAATGAAAAAGGCTTATATGATAGATAGCGGATGCTGAATCATGCCTAAACAATATAGTGTCGAAATCATTTCGTGTCTGCTTTTGATCAGATCAAGCAGATGTCGTTGATTTTATTTAAGCTCTCTGTTCTTATCTTGATTATTATCCTACCAATTCTCAAACGATGACTAGTGTTTTTTTTCTTTTTGTCTAATTCCTACACATTTGCTTATTGTTACGTTTCTTGTTCTTGTTCTTGTTGTTGTTTCACATTGATAATTGTTTTTCTTTCCTATAGTCTTGTAGCGCATCATCAGCATTTATCTATAATCATCAGAAAACATATTTTCTGTTTTTTTTTCATCATTCCATACATGACCTTTCGGGCTTTTTCTCTTTTTTTTTTTATGTAAAAATATGCGCTGACAATCCTCTCCTCTTTTTTTTTTACTCTTAATAATATTTACTGCTACATTTCCTTCGTATAATACTTGACTACTGTAACTATTACTATGTGCTCTTCTTTGACTTGAATCAGCTTGTAAAATTGGCTCCATTGTTTTAATAATACTATAAAAAGAATAAAAACTAAAAAAAGTGTACTGATTCTAAAAATAAGATAGAGAGAGAAAGAGAGTTGTGATGTATTTTTCAAAAACAAAGAAATAAATAATTCTAGAATATTCTTTTTTTGTAGTTTGCTAGATGAGGCATTTCTCTCATTTTATAAAACATCTGACAATAAAAAAGATAGTGATGGACTATATAGCTCTGAACATATGTTATCTGAAAACCAATCCGTTCTGTTTGATTAACAACTTCTATTCAATTCCACTGGCAAAAATAAGTTGAGAGTAATATTATTAGGATGCAAAACTTATGTAGCTTGTCTACATGCACAATAGAATAAAACATATGCGTCAGAGTAGATAGTGATGCTAGAACCTTCTAGTCATTATGTTTAGATCGATTGATGTGTTGAAATATGTGATATCACTAAAAATAAGTGTTTGTTTCTCTCATATTTTTTTAAATTGAGTATTTGAACCTTTCTAAATATATTCAGACTAAGTATCTCTAGAAGTGGGCGGGACGAGATTTTTTTTTACGTCATAGTCTCCCCGCCTCTATCAATCTGTTTCATCTATCTAATGATTAGAGAAGCCATCTATGACATGAGAAACAGCTATTTCTGTTGAGTTCACCATAATAAAACAAAAAAACAAACAAAATTGATTAGATAAAGAAAGACCTATATTTACATTTAGTACGCACATGAGTATCATGAGAAAAAGTATGTTCAAATCTTAATAGAAAATACTCATTAAGAGTAAACAACATTCTCTCTCATTCCCACTCTCATTTTCAATCGAATGTTTTGAAATAATGTTAGACATGTTCTAATATAAAATAACAGAAATCTACGAAATTAGATCAGTTTTAGCATTTCATAATCTATCGTTAAAAAGATGAAAATTTTATAAATCTTGATTTTTTTCACTTTTTTTAATTTTTCTTTTTTTCTATACTTCAAAATATACGTCAGTAAAACAAACGATTTTCTTTAAAATAAGAGGTCTACCATATGTTTTCCTCAAAAATTCTACGCGATTACACGAAAATTTCGACAGAAACTCTCATTTTTACAGTATACCACGAAAGACACTCACTTTTGATCAGGCATAAATTTCCTTATGATTGCTTCAAAAATCTATCTAGTGAAATGCTGAAATTTTTCATCCTCAGAAAGATGACTAGTACAATACCTTCAATTAAATTCCCATCTCACTTAATTAAATTTTTCAAGAAATTATAGTCGTCAGAATTTGAAATCAGGATTTCCTAGAATATTTCATCGACATTTTTCATAAATTTACGTTAATTTATGTTTTTTCTAATATTCTACTTCTGATCAAAATTTCATATCAATCTCAATTTTTATCTTAATTCAATAACAGGTGGAAAAAAGGGGAGGTACCCTTAATCATCGTTTATACATTATATATGATAATAATAATTTATATAAAGAGAAGAACGAAAAATGGTTCATCACTAGTCTAATTGTCCTTCTATTTAGAGTCATGCACGAAAGAATGTGTTTTCTCTTTTTAAAGATATATACTCTATCCATCATAGAACAAGTAGTAGTAGTAGTATGCAAGCAGAGTAAATGCAATAGCAATAAATTCGGAGACTTCTCGTTTTTCTTGTATATATATATATATGAGAATAGAAAACTATGTATATATATATATATATATATTGCGTAGAAAAACATTTTTTTCATTGTCGAGAATAATCATAGTAATAATCATAATAATAATCATAATCTAACATTAAGACGAGAAACATGCACGCGTGAAAGAAAATATTTTTTTCTTTGATGAAAAAAAAGTTTTTTTCGATGCCCACGATCTCTTCTGTGGCACTTTGGTCCGTTTAATCAAGAAAGAAAAGAAAAATAGTAAGGAAACGTTCTATATTATATACATATTTTTTTATTGAGCACAAGAAAAGAAAGAATAAAAAAAAAAAAGGAGAAAACACTTATTTTTTTTAACTGCTGCTTTGCCTGTAATATATTGTTGTTGCTCCAATAATCTACTACTACTATTACTACTACTACCATCACTACCTAACACACATACATACACACGCACACACTATATTTTCTCATCTGTTTTGTCGAAGCAAGAAAAAAAATAAAAGAAGAAGAAGAAGTATTTCCGTCGAAGAATATTTTTTTTTTTTGAAAAAAAAAAATAAACATTCCCTATCTACAAATACACGCACAAAGTTAAAATAAACTATTCAAAACGGAGACTAAAATTGTTCGTAGATTTGTTAATCGTACATTCGCACTGGATAACAGCAGCGATCTGTCGTCAAAAGTCAAAAAAGTACGAGCACCACCATTAACAACAGCTAGTCCATTTGACGACGATTCTGTTATTGCAAGATTAGTTCAACATGTAGTAAGCATTATTTTCATTTATCTTATCAGATTTGTTACAATTATTTTAAAGTAATACATTTCATTTGACACATCGTCATTTCTAGTTAACACATTTGATTTATTCTGATGAAAGTGGGCGGAGTTCTTTTTCAACTACAATTTCTAGAAGCAATTCTGCTCATGGTAGCTAAAATTGACACAGTTTTTATTGTTAGAATACGCTAAGAGTTAGTTGTCCTTGACATTACTCTTTTGTAGATTATTATGTTTATTAAGAGATGCAAGTTTTTTAACGTTACTAACACGTTTATTTTGGCGTTGATTGATGTTCTCTGTTGAAATGCGCAGTAAAAATTGATTACTGCTGTGCTAATAATTGTAATTTAGAAAGAAAGCTGAAGAGCATTACTAATGCTCGTTCATTCTCGATGTATTTGAATTCATTTAGTATATAATATCGCTATTCTCTCTCGATCGAGAAAGAGAAGGAAATCATAGAAAAACCACTTATAACCCTCTCCCCCTCCCCCCAAAAATATATATATATATACATTCGTTTTCATCTCAATGAATATGACAGATTTGTGAGTTACAAAATTTTTAACAATCAATCGCTGAACAAAGAAAGTTTATGATTATATGCATATATATATACATATATATGAATATTAACTGAAAAAAATGTTTGACCAAAGACTATGTTTGTAAACTAGACATAAAATATCTCTTCGCTTAATTACAGAAATATTTTGAATGTGTCATCCAATTACAGAATATTTATTAAGAGTAGTGATTCACTTGATAAAACATCTTAATATTTTCTTATTGGTCATTGTATATTTTACACAATATTATTTGATATTTGCTTCTTCTTCTCTTCACATAAAACTGAAAGGGTTTTTGTGTACTAATATTAGATGCAGTTTGATTTTTTACTGAATGAAAACTAAAATAAAATAAATTTTTGTTAATCGTTGTCTTAAGAGTAAGAAAACGTTAATTCATTTTAAGAGTCAACGTTTTTACATATTGGCGAAAAACCTGAGTTTGAAAATCATACGAGAAAATATACGAGTGATGTTAGAAAATGGAAAGGTTTAAGAATAAGAACATGTCAAAAATGTATAAAATATGTATAAATGATGAAGAGCAATGCGAGTATGTTTGATGTCGATGATGAAACAACTCTTCAAACATATGTTAGAGATTTACGTCCTTTTCATTCGTACACAAAGCAGTAGCAATAATTATTAACGTCAAAATATTAAAAAAATTATAAAATAAGTTTATCTAACAAAAAAACAATGTGGATTAGATTAATAAAAACATGAAATAAAAAAAGACATATTTTATATATTGAAAGAAAAGATGTCATATGTATTTTTCTTTTAAAGACAAAATTATTTCTATGTCAAAAATTGACAAGTTTTTGATGGCAAATTCAAACATTTACACTTTCATAATGAACAACATCAATATTATCATTCAGTCATCTATTCTCATTTGACTTCTTTGTCTTTATTCATCTAGTTTTTTGCTCCTCTCTTTGTATATCTATATATACTTGTATACAATATCTGTCAGCATTTCTACCTGTCATCATCGACGTAAATGAATGAAACACAAATTTGTAATCTTTCTAAACAGTATCGTTTTACTTCTTTTTTCTATCATTGAGAAGTGCTCGTTTGACAATGAATAAATATCACAGTATTAGAATGTGAGATAAAAACAGAAATAAAAATATACTTTTGGATACTTTTAGAGAGAAAAAAATAGACTATTATTTTTAATTAGCCTTAATCTTCTGTTGTTTTGTTTAGGCTCCAATTAGTATTGTTGCTGGTTTACCAGTAAATGATTTTCAAATTCCAGCAGCATTAAATATAACAAATCCAGTTAGTATAACAACAACAACAGCAGCAACAATAACAACAACTGTTCCTGCTTCAAATACCAATGTTCCATCAACACCTTCATCTTCCTCACTATCCTCATCACCATCAAATACGGCAATTCCAAACTCTGTGATTTCTAATGATGAAGAGCGAACACCACCTTCATCTGCAAGTGCAGGAGCACAAGCTCTACCTTTTTCTTCTTCACTATCAACAACCGTTGATTTATCATCAGACAATCCATCATTACCCGATATTGATGCACCAAATGAATCATCTTCAAATCCAATATTAGATGAAGCAGTTGATGATAAAACAAAATACGGTGAAAAACGAAGGTTTGTATAGAAAATTTTATTTATTTTTTTCTTTGTTACTATAAATAACAAAACAAAAAAATTCAAAAATCATTTATATTTAAGACATAACATTATCGAATTAATTGATACAGAAAAAGAATATGTCAAAGATTTGGCACTTATTGTAGAAGTAAGTATTTTATGTTTTAATACAATTCTTTCTCTATACAATTCTTTTATAAACTTTTCAAGGGTTATATGAATGCTGTTGAAAGTGATAAAGACATTAAAAAGCCAACTGGAGTTCAAGGTCTTGAACGCTATGTATTCGGAAATGTTCAAAAAATTTATGAATTCCATCGAGAGTATGTTTTAGACATTTTATTTGACATATAAACTAACGCATCTATTTTCTTATTTTGTATACAGTACATTTTTACCACAACTTGAACAATGTATTGAAAATCCAGATATATTAGGAAGGCTATTTACGGTTCGTATTCTGAAATCGTTAAAAATAAATTTAGCATATGTTTTTCTTTTTCTTCTTTTCTTCAGACAAATCGATTCCATCCGTATGTTAAATATTGTGAAAATAAACCACGATCAGAATATGTTGTATCGGAATTTCATGATTATTTTGAAGTAAGTTTTATATATTTAACTTTACATAAAATATTTTTCATTTTTTATTTTTTCAATAGGAAATACGTAAAAAACTTGGTCAAAAATTACTTGTTAGTGATTTATTAATAAAACCTGTTCAGAGAATAATGCGTTATCAATTATTATTAAAAGAAATTTTAAAATCAACGGAACGTATGAATGAAGAACCACGTGCTATTCGTAGTGCTTTACAAGTCATGATTACAGTTCCAACACAAGCAAATGATATGATGAATGTTGGACGTGTCAAAGATTTACCATGTAATGTACATGCATTAGGTGAATTAAAATTACAGGATATGTTATTAGTATCTGAACCAGTTACCAAAGATACAAAAGATCCAAAAGAAGCTGAGAAAAAGTTAAAAGAACGACGAGTATTTTTATTTCAACAAGCCATGGTATTTTGTGAAGAAATACCGGCAAAAGATAAATATTCTAGTCCAAATTATATCTATAAATATGATTTAAAGGTAAATAGACAATGATACATATTTATGTAACTTAATTATTTTTATTTTTTATATTTTTAGATAAATAAATTACAACATAAAGATTTTAAACGTATCAAAGATGCTTATCAATTTATTTTGGTTGAAGTTGATGCTGGTCATACAAGACGTGTGTTATGTCAGTGTAATAGTGAAGAACAATATGAAACATGGGTGACTAATTTACATAAAGTATTACAACGACAAATTGATCTTATAGCCGGTACGACTATTGTCTTATTTTATATAGAAAAACAAAATATATATATATTATTATTTATTTTTTAGCTTTAATAAATCCAACAGAAGCTTTAAAAAAAGAGTAGGTTCATTTTTTGCTTAAAAAAACTAGCAATAACATTTTTATTTTATGATATTAACAATAGTATTCGATTTTTCTTTTTTTTTTAATTTGTTTTCTTACAGTCCAAAAAAGTAAGCTCACACATATACATACATACATACAGTCATACATTCATAGACACACACATATACATACAACTACCCTGAATGTATTCGATTTATATCATTATTTATATAAAACAAAATTATTGCACTCACAACTATCCATTTTCCATTTTTTCTTCTATTATCGCCATCACAAAAAAAAGATACACACGTGTGTGTAGTTCTTTTATATTAGTATGAGAGTGAGAGATTAGAGATACATGTCGATCTGGGTAAGATGCTAAAGATAAAAAAACTCATGTATTAGCTTTACATTATATCCAGTTATTATTAATTTTATGTAATCGTTATTATTGTAATGCTTCTTATTTTTTATTTTTTATTATCCATCCTGCTAATTTACTATTAACCTCTAGATTGTTGTCATCTATATATCATCCTAAAATTTCTTATCATAATCTTTATCTTTATAAGATAATGCACTATATCAATTCATTTCTATCCTAGTTTATTTTTTTTTTTTTAGTTTTTATTACACTTGTGTGTGTGCGCTTTATGTACTTGCACTCTCATACTCTATTTAATACGAGAAGTTTGTCAATGTGTCTGTCTGTCCTGTCCAAAACAAAATACTCTATTTATTTTTTTTAACTATTATTTTAAATTCTATTTCCATGCATGTACCTATTCAAATTTGAGTACAAATACTTTACTTTTATTAATATTTATCTCAATTTTAAGGTTGTTAACATGGGAGAAAGCAGACGATAATTATAAAGAATATGTATCACAACAATCTACTCCTATGTTTTCTTCAACAGTAAAACATTCAAATACATTTCAACGTACAACCCGTTCATTAAGACGACGAATGTTCACGTCAAATAAACATCATTCTGTCGATTCGTTCGATACTGATGAAAATAATGATAGATGAAAAGTCGAGAAAAAAAATAATTATTATGGTAGTTTTGTCTTCTATGCGCTTTATTGCCAATATTGCGAAGGTTGATGCTTCATGAGATTTTAAAAATTTTACTTAAAACCCATTTGTTTTTTTTGGTCTACTACTTTAGACTATCAATCTAATTAACATCAAACTTATATTTTTGCTTAAATCATAATGCGGCCTCCATAATCTCTTTCTTTCTATTTTTCTCCTTTCTCGCTGTGCATGAAGAAAAATAAATCATTAATTGTGCTTTAATATTTTTTTCTTCTTTGTGTTCGTGTGCGTGTGTGATTGATTATAACTATCAGTCTTTGATTAGAAATCAAAATATCGAGTTTAGTAACATCGATTAAAGCATATTGTAACCGTTGTTAAATTGCTTAATTGAAAAATATAGTTTTCCTATATTGTTGAAACTTCATCAGAATATTCATTCATAAAAAGAAAAATTTTTATTATTCAATAATTAAAAAATTTTGTCAACAATATTAAAAAAAACATTAAGAAACAGGAAATATTATCTGGTAAAAAAATCTGGCATGGCCTTGTTTCATGCAAATGCTTGTGTGCAAATATGCTGCATTTTGTGCTGTTTAAACCTATTTTTAATTATTATTAAAATAACATTTTATTAACTATCTTATTTTATTTTAGGCAAGATTCATCATTATTATCATCACCATTTCATACATTAACAACATCTATTTCGTCAAATAATCGTGGTCAAATCAAAAAATCAATGTCCGATAGAACAGGAAAATTACCAAATGAAATAACGACGGGAAATACTAATAATTCATCTGTTATTCTACCATTATCTCCATTACCTTTATCACCAAAAAACTCTCATTATCATCCACGTACACTATCTCATTCAGATACGAATAAAGTTCATACACTAGAATTACCTCAAACATCGTCGTTAAATACCAATGATTCTAATATAACTCCAGTACGAAAGTCATTTAATTTATTCGATACAATTTTACAACGTTCATCGTCTACTTCAACATCGGGAACATCATCTACACGACCATTAAATATTGTCACAACAACATCGTCTAATTCTCTTAGCATTTCTTCTTCAGTTACTGCTAACGCATCTTTACCTAGTTCACTGATTCCCGTTGTACCGTCCGCTGTCACATATTCTCCATCAATAAATGATAATCATAATATACTATCTAGTCAACAACAACAACAACAATCATTATCAAACGATTATCTTTCATCTTCAACATATGATAATCGTTCATTAAAAAAAACAATTGATAATACTTTTGAACGTCGTCAACCTCAAACAAATAATGGCAGTCATGTATTACCTGAAACAGCCAAATGTTTATTTAATTATAATGCAATTAAAGAAGATGAAATATGCGTTCAAAAAGGTGAATATGTACAAATAGTTGCTGCTAATCAAGATAATCGATATTTCGTACATCGTGAACAAAATACGAGTTCACCAGCCGCTGAAGGATGGATACCGGGCCATATTATTGGATTAAGATCACCGATTAATTTGACACAACCATTAACCTCACCGTCAAACACATTCATCAGATCGCATCATTATCAAGAACATTCTCATCCTGTTATACCTTATCAATCTACTATACCTCCACAACCCCATACGAATTCTTCAAATTCGACATCAGCTGATGGACAAAAGGTAATATAATCATATCCAATTTTTCTTAAAGCTCCCACCATTGTTCATGGAACAAAAAATGTATGATGTGTATGTGTTCAATTTTCATCAAAAATAAAGATCAGTCAGATTTTGGTTCTTAATACAAAAATAATTACGCATATACATCTCCATGTTGTTCATATTTCTGCTTCTCTATCTCTCTCTCTCTATCTCGTTGGACCAGAATCTCTCTTTTTCCTATTTTTGTTTTGTTTTTTTATTTATTATTTGTTTTCTCCCGATATGCCAGACCAACTTTTTCAAGATAAGGAGTGAGATTTGAACGATCGTATTGATAACGATCTCTCTTTTTCTTTTTCTATTTTTCTTAGTTTAGTCTCGTTGCGAAAACAATAAAGAAATGTTTTAGCTGTGTTTTTATTCTGTTTTTTTTTCTGGTTTTTTTTAAATTGATGTTTACTGTTTTGCAAAAAAATATCTATTTTTTTTTTGTTTGATCTTCTTATTGTGTTCTCGAAGTAAAAAAATTTTTTTGTATATGTACAGCTTTTTTGTTTTGTTTTTCTCAACAGAAATTCGTTGCATTATATAGCTTATGTTTATTATTGGCTATATATGAATTTTATTAAACATGATCGATCAAGTAAACAGATTATATCCTTTCCCTTCATAATTGGTCTTTTTATACAAATCGTACAGGCATTTAATACGTATTTTCTTTTCGCTTACGAAACTATACAATGAGGAAAACGAGGGATCGATGGGTCAAAAATTAGGAGCAAAATGTATTTATTTATATGTCTGACGAGAGAACCTTTCGAGGTGATTAAAAGCATTTTGATCGATATCTAGCGGGTTATAGGTTATCGACCATGCTGATTCCGAATATGAGCATGGAACTGGCCCATAGCTCTTCGAAGATCCAGTCTTCTGGAAAACCAGTTTTTCAGAAATTCCAAAAAATAACCCAAGCCTTTCTTAATAATGCAGGATTGTAGCGGGGGGCGTGAAGGGTTTAAAATTAATAAAAACAC